AGTTATAAGGCTGGGGTTCATTAAAGATAGACCTATATCTACGGATATTAGACCAAATGACTGATGGGGAAACATCAGGAGATATTGAAGAACAGAAGGACTGCCAGCCTTCCCACTTTTTTTTCTTAAGCAATTTCCGAGTGGCAGTCATTACTTCCGTCAAATAGTCAAAATTCTCAACGGTAGATTCGGCCCTGTAGCGCCTTTCTGCCTCTTTCCTATTTTTGACAGCTGTCAAACAGTCTTGGTCCCACCAGGGAGGGGAAGGGATTTTGTTTGTGTTGGGATTTTTAATAACAAACATTCTATCAGCTGTTTTAATTAACAATTGAGAAATTGCTTCCGCGCACTCTGAATGATTACTACCATTAACAGCAGGTAATGAAGGGATCTGGCGTTGAACTTCTTGTTGGAATGCATACCAATTTACATCATCTAACCTGTACTTCATACGAGGTGGGCGCCTTTCGTATGATTTACCTACTTCATTAGGAAAAGTTATAACAATGGGAAAATGATCACTTCCGTATGATGAGCTTAGCGTTGCCCAAGTTAAAGAAGAAGCTATGTCAGGTGTAGAAACTGATAGATCTGGTATACTAATACCTTCGTTAGGTGAAGTTCGTCGCGTAGGCTCACCAGTATTTAATAAACATAAATTTAAACTGTCTAATAATTCTAGCATTCTAGAACCATAAAAATTTGAATTAGAGCTGCCCCAGGATTGATGCTGGGCATTGAGATCTCCCATGATTAATGCTGGCTTTGGAATATTATCTAGTATACTTTCAACTTCGTCAAATATTGCTGATGATGGATGAGGAATATAAAGGGACACAAATGAAATATTACTTATACTAACTGCTATAATTGAGAAGTCACTATTATGCTGAGGAATGGGTATATGGGTAAAGGAAATAGATCTTTTAACAAGGATAGCTACACCACCGTAGCCATCACTTCTGTCTTCTCTTATACATGAGAAGCCAGGTATTCTAAAATGAACATGAGGTTGTAGCCATGTCTCTTGAAGAGACACAGCAAAAGGTTTAAACTTATTTATTATAAACAAAAGATCACTTTTCTTACTACTAATGCTGCGGCAGTTCCACTGCAGCACTAGAGTGCTTAAGTCCATTTTGTGAATTATTTTCCTGTGTACTATTGTTAGATATGGCAACGTTGGGCGGTAAAGACACTAAATTTGATTTAGATAGTGAAGTTATTAAAGCAATGATTAGGTCTTTAATAGGCATGTTAAAAAGAGAATCGGGTTCATTATTATTTAAGGCACATCCATTTTCAGGTTGAGGAGCATTATAGTCTTTCACTAACTCATTATGGGCTACTCGGTCATAGCCCTTTCCATGTTTAGGTGGGACTCTGGGTTTTAAGTAGACTGTTTTATTATAAGATCTGCTGCCATTATTAGGTAAGTTAGAGTTATACCCAATTGATGGGGTTGGAGGGGGAGAAGACATTAGGACGCTAGCATATGACTTACTAATGGGAGGATGTAACTTTAAGGCTTCACCATATGAGAGACAATTTTTAGCCATAGATTCCTTAATTCCCTTTTGTCTATCAAATTCTGGACATTTTTTGTCTGTAGCACAGTGAGGACCTGAGCAAAGACAGCAAACACTTTCTTCAATAGTACAACTATCTCCTGAATGTCCCTGACCACATCTAAAGCACCTGGGGGTAGATCGGCACTGGGTTTTGACATGACCGTATCTACAACAATTGAAGCATTGGATTGTTGGATATATATACAAATTCACAGGTAACGAGTTATAACATAGAAACACACGTTTTGGTAAAACCTGGCCATCAAAGGTCAGGACAACTGTCTCAGTAGGGACAAATTCAGTTTTTCCATTGCTTGTCATTTTCCTTTTAAACCGCCTGACCTTTAAAATATCACCACAACCTATGGGAGTTGATATGCTAGTTTTGACCTCATCATCAGTCCAATCAGTTGGTACTCCTCTAACCACCCCCATACGGGTCACATTAGCCGCTGGAATAAATGCTTTGTATTGATATTTTTTTAACAATGAACTTGAAACGAAACTGTTTGCATCCTCAAAATTTGAGAATGAAATTACAATGCGGTTTCTACCAATTTTTTTCAAACTGCCATTAACTATGTTTTTAAAATTGTTCTTTTTCAAGAATTGGCCAAATGAAATCGGGTGAATGTTAGATTGACGCTCATTTGATGGGTCTTGATCTTTAAGTACATGGATTATGTAAGGGGCTGCATCAGAAGCTTCGTAGCGAGATCTGCCTACAAAAGTCGGTACACGAGAATTTGGGCTTTCAGTGGAGTTCATTGCAGTAGGTTCCGACATGGGAGAGTTTGGAACTAGAAAGTTATCAGGCGGATTAATGAAAATATTGGGCTGATTACCTTCATTGTCACATAAACAACTATTAACTTCATTCGATGAATTTAGATTTGACCTATGATGTTTCCTCTTTTTGTTGCAATGTTTACAATATTTGCGGTTTATGGAACGTTTCCGAGTAGAGTTAGATTGACCAGCATCCGAACAATCAGTGTCTCTTTGAGATCCTTCAGTTTCAGAGCATTGTGAGACGGTAACAAAGTTAGATACCTGGGGGACGCCGGTCCCGCCAGGATCGTCGGACTCATCCATGCAACTTTTATAAAAGTGAAAAACTTACCAATAAACCGGAATTTTAGCACTACTTATATTAAATATATACAAATAATTAATATACACACTATTTTACAATTGATCCTATACAATACACTATTTAAATAATTAAAATATCAAAAGAGCAAAAAAAAGACGACCGAACAAACCGACGTTTCCCGCGCTTTTTTCGAATATAACGTTACAGACTGCTACAGGGAACTCATTTTTATATTGTCTTATTAATTATCTTGTCTAAAACAAGTGCCCATGAATTATGAAATAGGTGGTTTTTCATAATCACCAATTATAAAATAGGTGTTTTTTCATAATTGCTTTCAAACCGACTTTTGCGCATCCGGTGTGAACAGACATTATGCATCGCACCCACGCTTGCAAAGCAAATGGGGCTTATTTAACAAGAACATGAAATCATGCATAATGCATAAATCTGGAAACTAAAATCACTTTCACTGAAAGACTTGCATCAGTATTCAATATTATGCCGCGTTTGCAATTGGCATTTTAATTGCAGTGATAAGTTATGACGTCAAGGAATTGTTTGCTTAATTTTATCTCTTCAAAAATGCCGGTAATCTACAGTTCACAAGACAGCGCATCAAGTTAAATATTTTGGCATCTATTGTAGTTGTAACAGGAGCTATTTTGCAACAAATTTGTGCTGACTGTACGCAGTAAATAAACAAGTTCTCGAAAGATTGTATTTACGTGATACGTGTCTTGTGTTTTGTTAGATTAGATAAATTCAGCCGATTAAAATTCTGTGAATCAAGATGTTACACAATTATATTAATATCTATATTTATCACTTGTATAATATGAATTATCGAAAAATCTTGACCACCACCTATGCCACCACTGAATGAAACGATTACAATCTTTTTTAAATCATTATGTTGATTTGTGAATTGTTTTCTTTTATAGGCTTGCGTGGAGTGTATCGACAGCGGCAAAATGACCAAGGACTTGGTTATTTGCATCCATGGCTTGGCCAACACCAAGGAAGGCATGTTCTTGCACACTGAAGACTTCCTGCTAGCCATCGCCGATCAACTGGAGCGCAAACTGTCGTCGAAGTGATAGACCAATTTGTTTTAAGTAAATCAATTTATTTTGAATGTCTTCCTCATACATTCTTTCTTAATATTGCTTCTTGATTATATTACAGGAATTTAAAGTCTAAAAGAGATTCCATAAAATGAACTTAATAGTGTTAAATTTTTGGCGGTGTTGCACAAAATCTAGTTCAATAAAAGTACATGATTGTATTTTTCGTAAACAGATACCTACTTAGATAATAAGTCAGAACAGTGTTATAAGTCAGGAAAGCAATATTCTTAACTGATTTTGTGATAGCATTTTGAAAGACTGAATGATTCTGTTAATTTTGAAATATTGAGCTGGAATCAAAGTATGGCAAAAAACTTTTTATGTTAAGAAAAGTTTGTATGTGTATTCATGTACACAATGTTAGAAGTAAGAAGTGAAACTGTATCTTACTGAATAAATTTTAAAAAATCCCTATTATTAAAGATTCGAGATTTAATGTGCCTTATTATTTTTAATTGTATGTATGATTTATCTTCCGTAAATAAATTTATTTTTACATTTTCTTTTAGTTTTAATACTCAGTTGACTCTTCTTGAATTTATTTTTCCAAATTATCATAGGTACCATGCTAGCTTAGAATCTATGCACTTTTACTTTCAGTAGGTTTTGGTTGAAGTAGAATGGAATAAAATTATTATTGTTAAAGACTGGTCCGTGAGCACGTAGAAACTTCAAAGCAGAATAGTTTAAAAATGCAATAGAATTTATAAATTCGTAACAATAATAATTATGCATAAAAAATGACATTGGTGTTAGTCCAATGACCCCAAGCTACCCATCCTTATCGCTCGCACGTAATTATATTGCTGTCGCGACTGTGCGACGGGCACCCGCAGTGAGTGTGCGAGCGCGACAGCAACATAATTTAGCGCGAGCGATAAGGATGGGTAGCTTGTGGTCATTGGACAAGTTTCTACGTGCTCACGGACCAGGCTTTATGAGTAAAGTAATGAAGTTCAAGTAAGTACAGCTGATCCAAAACCATTAGAGATTGTTATAGTCATGCTCATGCATACTTAACAAAATTAGACGAGACCATTTTTTTAAATTTCAACAAAATTGCTGATTTTACCGATGTATCGATACCATATCTGTGATCGATACATTTTTCGGGGGTATTCCAGTTATTTCATAGAGTTGGTTATTAACTCTATGAGTTATTTTGACTAACAGTGAAGTGACAGTACTGACAGTTCATACAAACGTTAAAATATCGGCGTCGTAGTAAACAAAACATAACCTCAAAGTAGTTTTTGTTATTAATTAAATTATACACTAACGGAGATTTATTTAGTAAAATATAACTAATTGCATTTATGCGAATAAGCCAGAGAAATGACATGGCTATATTTAGCATTGTTATATTTTGTGACTTCGTCGAAAACTGGAGCCGAAGAAAACTTTTGTACCAAGGAAGGCGAATGTAACAAAGGGATGTACAGTAAAGGTAGGACAGTAATGGTTTTGTTATCTACAATGTTAATTCTACTATTAATTGGAATGACAGCATACTGCTGTACCACATTCAGTAAACACTTATTTTTTCAGAAATCAATGACTGGAGTACAAAAGTAAATCAACAAATTAAATCAGCCTTAGCAAAATACACCCCTTGTGAGAAGAAACATTGTTCTTGTCACAGTGCAGTTATTGAGCAAGACCTTCAGCCTTTTAGTGATGGTATCACAAAGGAACAATTTGCCATAGCTGTTGCGAAAGGCACCAAGTACCAGGTAGGATTGCAAGGAATGGTTTAATGGTTACGATGAAAAAAATGTGTCAGTATTTTTTTGATACAACTAAGTGTTAGGTTGTAAAAGAGGCATTCAATTATTCTTTTTAATCAAGTATGTAAACTTTAAGAGTGTTTTTCTAAATATATTTCAGATAATAGATGGCAAGCTGTACAGACAAAAAGACTGCCACTTCCCAGCAAGATGTGCAGGCGTCGAGCATTACTTATCAGCTTTAGCACCTAAAATGCCAAACTTGGAAATTGCTTTGAACACCAGAGATTGGCCACAGGTCAACCACTTGTGGGGACATCCGAAGGCACCAGTTTTCTCCTTCAGTAAGGTCATAATAAATATTATTGATTGTGTATGTTTTTAATGGGCAAAATAGAATCATCAAGTTGTGACCAAAAATATTTTTTACAGACAAAGGACTACTATGACATTATGTATCCCACTTGGAGTTTCTGGGAAGGTGGTCCTGCCATATCGCTATACCCAACTGGAATAGGCCGTTGGGATAAGCATAGAATCTCAATTTCTGCAACTGCAGCTAATAAGTATGGGACTTGTAGATATTTTAATTTTTATTATTTTTTTATGTGATAGGTGGCAGACAAGCACATAGTTTTCTTTATTAATTAAAATTTTCTTCTTCTTTTAGGTGGCCATGGGATTTAAAGCTAGACAAAGCTTTTTTCCGTGGTTCCAGAACCAGTGAAGAGAGAGATGCCCTTGTATTACTTTCTCGTTCGAAGCCAGAGCTTGTTGATGCTCAATATACCAAAAATCAGGCTTGGAAATCTGAAGCAGTTAGTATACCTAATTTGTTGTCGTTCTTTCATTTGGTTGATCTTTATCTGATTATATAATTTTTTCAGGATACTCTCTATGCTGAGCCAGCTTCAGAAGTGTCATTTGAAGAACATTGCAGATACAAGTACCTCTTCAATTATAGAGGAGTAGCTGCAAGTTTCCGCTTTAAACATCTGTTCTTATGTAAATCTTTAGTGTTCCATGTGGGTGAAGACTGGCTAGAATTTTTCTATCCATCCCTCAAGCCCTGGGTGCATTATGTACCTATTTCTCCAAATGCATCACAACTAGAAATAGAAAGATACATAAACTTTTTCAAAGAAAATGATTCTTTGGCTAGAGATATTGCTGAAAGAGGATTTGAACATATTTGGGAGCATTTAACTGACAAAGATGTACAATGTTACTGGAGAAAGTTACTAAAGAAATATTCTAAATTAGTGAAATATGATGTAGTCAAAGATAGTAATTTAAAAAGAATAAATGCATATCATGACGATTTATAATTAAATACAAGTAATATTTTTAAAAAGGTGTTTTACTGAACAATGAAACAACTTGTTGGGAGTAGGTAGTATATTAAATTTAATGTCTACAGTAAAGCTGATGAAATCTATTTCTACCATTTATAGTAAAACTAATGACAAGTCAAACAATTTAAAGAAATATTGATAAACAATTGTAATATTTAAGATACCCAAATGCGATAGAAATGTACACAGACTAATTATGACTAATAAAACGAAATTTGAGATCTTTGTTTCAACCACATTATATTCTTGATCCCATACATAAAATAGAATAATCCATAAAATGCACAAACAGTGCGAGGGAATAATTTTTTTTTCTCGTGTCAAATCACGCATTTTTCTTAATTTTCCATTTAATATAAAAAGAAACATTAAAAATTATGTACTTATGATTACGTAAGATGCAGCTCGAGCTAATACCTATCATAGGCAATTGATCGACGTGCCCTGCTATAGTCTTTTTCACGTAAGATGATCCGTATGACACTTCAAGGTTATCCATATTACGCATACTACATATGCAGAATAGTTTTGAAAAAATATTTGTATTTTATTAGGAATATAATAAAAAAAAAATTAACTACTTGTCTTGAAATATATAGTAAAATCTGAGTCTATTGATTATATTTAAATTAAATACGATGTAAAAATATTTTTTATTTAATGTACGCAATGTGTGAAACGGAATATATTTAGTGCTGGGGTATTTCTTGTTTAATAAAATCGATTATTTCCGCGGTTCATTAATCGATTGCAGTGAATACTTGTCTTAGTTATTAAAAACATCACAAAAATCAATTATATTTTTCGATTATTGACTTTAATAAACGCATTGAAAATAAATTAATAGTTTTTAATTTAAAGAAACAGAACCAGTACTTTTTAAGAATCGTTTTTTTGAATACGAACCATGAAATTTGAATATTATCAATAAAAAATTGTTACAATAATATTTGTAATTAAAAAAAATATTTTTTTGTTAAATAACACCTTTACAAAATATTTCTCTAAAAGTAGGTTTCACTACCTCTTCGAAAAAAATCGATAGATAAATCGCTATGCTTTAGTTATGTGACATCTCTAAATCTTTCAAACTCGAAACGTCATACGGATCATCTTAGGTGAAAAAGACTATAGTGAAGTATAAGTATGATGTACTAAGAATACTAAAATATACGTCACGGCTATCCGATTACTGATTATACTGAGTTGTTTTGTGACGTATAACTTGGGAGGAGCTAACCGCTTAGCTGAAGTCGCGGTGGGGGAAAACGGCGGGCGCCACGAGGGTCCACACGTAAAGCCCGATGCAGAGCCACGAGGAAGTTATCTTGACCCACATGGAAGCGACGTTCTCCTTGGACAGCTCTGAGCTTGGACTGTAATAAATATTTTGTATTATTTATCATACATTCTAAAGTAAAATAATATTGTTTCTGGAATAAATGGGAACAATTAAGCCGTTAGCTATGTATTTGAGTTCAGAATTCCGAAATCCGTCGGCCTATCAATGCATTCTTTTCACTGCACACCAAACAAGACATAATTATAAAAGAAATAATTATCCGAAATCACACAATTCAGGCGTCCGAATAGGCTAGCGTTCGTTAGGAAGCGATCTCTTCCAGTAAAAACAAGGAAGAGGAGAGAGAGAAGAGTTTAAAATAAAAGGAGGAGTCAGGTCAGTCACGGTAATACTATCTATAAGTCAGTGTTTGACATTGAAGTTTGATCTTGGTTGACTTCATTTACAAATTCGATTTACTCGGTTATTGTACACCTTATCTCATCTAAAACTGGTTAAAGCTCAGCTGCTTTAATTTTGACTGTGAGATACCTATATAGTTTATGTTATTTTACAACGGTTTTTGCACTGCAAATAGGAGCAGTTACGTGCAAGTTTACTAAGAACAAAATTGCAATTCATAATACTCACTTGAACCAGTTAGTCAGCGTCATCATAATATACAAGGTGGCGAGCGCGAACACGACGTGGAAGAATGTCCAGGAGTAGGCCACGCCGTCGCCCTCGTTGTCCACCACCTTGGCCTCCTCGCGGCCCGCCTCGCCGCCGTCAGCGCCCTCTATACAATCATACCCTGCTCGTGAGCATGCCACAGAGACGACTATTAGCTTTGTGGTCAAAGGACGGTACCTTGAGTGATGACTGAAAATCGCTGGTAGGGTTCAAAAGATAAGGAGACTGTAAAGTGCGGAAGGGCCTCCTTTTTAGGGTTCCGTAGCCAAAATGGCAAAAACGGAACCCTTATAGTTTCGTCATGTCCGTCTGTCCGTCTGTCCGTCTGTCCGTCTGTATAATTAAAATATCAAAAGAGCAAAAAAAAGACGACCGAACAAACCGACGTTTCCCGCGCTTTTTTCCTTGTGTTTATTTCTTTACGTGGAATCAATCAAAATGTCAAGTTGACATTACTAGTGCAGTGATTACACCGTACAACAGATACACGTACTAGGTTTATTTTCACGCGATATTTATAACTCACTCAATATAATTTTTTTGGAAAATAATCTTTTCGATTGGAAAAGACGGCATACCTACATTAGGCCGAGTCCGCACTATGGCTTAACCGCCGCGGTTTTTAACCACGTGAACCAAGTAAAACTAATGCAAGCGTCCGCACTGCGGCTTTTTCCCGCGTATGCGTTTCAGGCGGTCTCGCGGTTTGGAAAATCGTAGTGCGGACTCAGCCTTATTTATTGCTAGCTTCACAATAATGCAGCAGTGACTTCATTCGTTTTTATTTTAATAAGAAAGTCATGGGCTGGCGAGGGAACGAAGGTCGAGTAGGTGAGCACTCCACCGAACAACAAAATCAGTCCATTAATCTGGGGTCTTAGATTAAATCTAAGTCTGGGGTTTTATTAATCTAAGTCTGGGGTCACTAATTCACTATTAATGCAAACATTATTTTTGTTTGAAATGAATAAATTCACGGTCATCTTTGGCGAACATTGCAAGTTTGCAATTTCAATTAAAAAAAATATAAAAACAATCAATCCCACTTCAGTATTAAAAAATGAGATACTGTACATCATAACTGTACTGTCTGAAGTTAAAACTTTTAGCCCTCCTCTATTACAGAATTTGGAACAATAGTATCTCCAGTGATTTTTACATTCAAATCTTAATAAGTTCTCGATTCTGCTCCAAGCCGTCGGACAACCATGCTCGCTGCGTGCAACATAATTTTTGATTCGAGAGTCGCGCCAACTCGTCGACTGGTCGACTCGAGGAAACGAGTTCGCTCCACGGCGCGAAGGCGCTTGCTTGTGTGAGCCGTTTTGCGCTGAAAATGTGGTTTCATTCGACTTGACGCACCGCGAAATATTAATTCAGTGACTTGAATTTCGTTTTTGTGACTGACATCTCTATTTTGAAGGAAATTCAACAGTTTGATGAGTGTTTTGTGTACGAGAAGACTACGTGGTTAATAAATTACGGATTTTTTCGCAACCGACTGCACAATGCAAACAATTTTGAATTTTAAGTCTACATCTAGTGTGTGTAAATTAGTACTGTTAAAAAAATGTTAACAGGTTGTCTAGTGTTTTCGCTTCTAGTTTTTCACACATTCCCAACAGGTAAGTTTTGCGGGTCATTATAAATCAAGTTTACTAACGTGCTGCCAGGAATTTAACTGATTTAAGTACGAGTATTCTAATAAACTGATACTTAACCCTAAAAAGTATGGTGGTGGTCTCGTTTTGTCCGTTACTTTAAAAATATTGTCGCTGATCGAACGTTTAAAAAAAGTAAAATTATGCTTGCAAAAGTTTTTAATTTAATTTGTTCCTTGAAAAATGTGACAATCTAACCATAGAAGAAAACCTAAAGTTACCAAAACAGAAAAGTCAGCATGAAAGATTTCCACTTCTCAGAAAATAATAATCCCGAGCTGAATTACTCATTCAGCATAGCCAATACCACCTATGTCTTGTTTGGTTTCCCTACCAGACTAGTAACTTCCATCAAGAGTTCAACGACATTGAAGCTGTTAGATTTCCTTCACTACATATGTACCTACCTACTACATTGCTCCAAAGGTTCATGTAGGAATCTTATAAGGATCTGTTTAGAAGGTAAATAAGTATTATACTATTTTAATTAAAACGTCTTTGTAGTCCAAATAAAAAAGATTGAGTACCTACCTAGGTACAGTCAGCGTCAACAAATAGTGATAATAATAGACCCACCCAAGTGACCAAAACACAACCAAAAAAGACGCTGCTCTAATCCTTACAGCCCCAGGACTTCTAATAGTTCTATCAGTTCCTACTAAGCCGCTTCCAGAATCCAAAAAATCTTAAAACATGGTTTTATCATTTGGCGGTTCTGCTTCAAAAAACCTCGCGCGCTTTTTTAAAACGACGCAAACAAAATCGGTTACCGTAAATTAGTAGCTACAAAAGGCCGGTGAACGAGTTTACTTTTTGTAACATTCACGTCGACCGGTCTGCTGTGTGGGTGATCAGGAAGCGGAGCCAGGTGTCGTGACGTAAGATACAATGGCTCGTAATAAGTACCTGAACCACCTCTCTAGCTCCTGGTTAGTTCGTTTACAAAATCAAAATCAAAAATATTTATTCAGTTTATACCACAAGTGGCACTTATGAATCTAATTCAAATTAATTCAAAAATCTAATTCAAATTAAGTATGGTACCTATAATGTGTCGGATTTACAGTTTTGCCGCCCGTAGGCTAGTGTGAGGTTGGATCTTTATTTAACTTTTATCTTCTGAAATCGAGTAAGCGTCATCTGATATCTGCCGCCCCTAGGCCGCGGCCTATACGGCCTATTGACAGATCCAGGACTGCCTATGATGTCTGGTACATTATATTATGGTAATACCAGACATCATAGGGGCAGAACCGGCCAGTTGGGAATTAAATTCGAATCGATGAAAGATGCTGTAGTTACCATCGGACAAAATTGAAAATTCTACTGCCGAAGAGGCTAAGTAATAAGTCTAGTTCGCACCCTTTGGGTATGGATCCCGGAAGAAACAAAGGGCCTGTACGTAAAACAACTACTTGTTGTCAGACCACGAGAAGATGTAGCCAACAAAAATGATTGGAGAACTAATCAAAAGTTACATAAAAGTTTTTTAGTGATATCGTCGCGACATGACGTTATTTAAATGCCGAAATATGTAATAAAAATTGAAAACAGTGGATCTACCAGTAAACAACATGTTCTGACCATTGCACTCATGTTACCTACAAAGTAAGATCAAGATACATCTAATAATAACATTAATGCCCTTACAAGGAATAATGTTATTGAATTGTCGCCTCCCAGACAATGGTCATGCTGGTCGCAACGTGCGTTGGTCTACCAGTTTTTTGCTCGGACGTGGAACAAACACGCTATTATAGCGAGTGAGCAATCAATTAAGAAAAAACAGGCACTGACATTGGCAACGAGCATTCGTTGATTGAAGAGTTATCGTTAATGGACACTGGAGCCCCGTTGAGATATGCCAGATTGTTGTTGTTACATGTACCTACTTATTTACTGCAAAAACTCTTGAAGAAACTGACTGTTTGATTTAAATTAGATAGAAGAATCTTATATAGAACGACACATCAAGATTCAAGATTAAACACTGAATGCAGTCTTATAGGTGTTATTTTGGATCAAAGACTTGCTTGCATTTATTACGTGCGCGTGCGCCTCCCTCTTCCCATCATCAGCCCATGTTGTTCCTTAGAAGAGAGAACAACTTAATTGGGAAGTGTATGATTTGACCTTACAATTTTGAATCCTGAAGAGTCTGGCTGGCTTATTATGAAAATAAGACCTTGAGAAACATTTTTTGAGAATTTGCCAAAAATATTTTAAAGAAAGATTCTGAGAAGAAAATTCATGCGTGCGTGATAATAATATTGTGGTAGGTCTTGTAGACACTTAAATAGCCTCAAATCAAATTGCAGCTTACATAAAAATATCTTCCAATGACACAATTGTACGCAATACTCCACGAATTTGCAAAATAAATTCAATATTTAACAAGGTGACTTAATGGTTGACTTTTTTTCTCAGCTTCATAATAAAAACTATTCAGGGATGTCCAGAGAATTTACGAAGATATTTGCCTAATAAATTATTAGCGTGGTTTGTAATTTGTAAAGTCAGTACTGCAAGAAAGGATTTTTTCCTGGCGGCTTGGTGACTGGAATTGAACCGNTTACAAGCTTTATATTGACTTCACTTGTTAGTATGTGTGGGACAAATCTTGCAACTGAATTTAAGACCAGTTCTCCTCAACCGATTGAGCTGAAATTTGGTATACTTATGTAAGTACGATGACAATGCAATATTATGGTACCATAGAGCTGGTCTGATGATGTAGTCGGGAGGTGGCCATAGGAACTCCTAAACAAAACGGCAGAAACTCATCCAGTTTGGGTTCGTTGGATTTGTCTTTTCGAGCACTTTAGTGTTAGATAATGTCCAGGGTCCTGAGATTAAGATATAACTAAAAAGTGTAAAATAAAATTATAATAAAAATAATCTTTTTTTAAAACAAGCTTTTATTCTGAATTTCGAAAGCTTGTAGCGCAAACAGAGAAAAAGAGGAATAAATTCCATGCGCGATACAAACTTTGTAATTCAGAATAAATCTTGTTTTAAAAAAAGTTTATTTTTTTTTTATTATAATTTTATTTTTTTTTACTTCTCGCTCACGGTCCTTCGTCACGCATACAGTTTCCTCGTCTCGTTTTGCAAATAATTATTTTATAATAGTCACGTTTTTACCATAATCGAGTATAATTATAACTATGAAACCACGAAGCACACGTAAACCCCAACGTCATGGTAATAATTATTATAGTACCGTGCTAACGTTTAGACCCAAGCTATTAACTTTCATTAATAATTTTAATTTAGTACTTGACAAGGTTTTATGATTTTAAACTTTTGTTTGAACTCTTATCGTATTAACAGCGATTAGCTTTACCAGGGTTGGCACTGTGTAGTATTTTATTTATTGTTGTTTTTAATTTAATTTAAATTTCAGTGGGACATTGTTAAACTCATGATTATTATTTTGGTTCTTCCACTGTTTAGGTTGAGACTAAATTTAAACTTAGTAAGTACTTGTTTCAAAGAAATCGTTCTGTCTGTTGGTAACGTCGGAGAGAGAGGTAGACCTACTTAGTAATATCTTCTGCATATTTTGGCCCCTATAGACTTTATCATACTTACTTAAAAAATGAGACGCCATTTTGTAAAATAAACTGTCATGAATGTCACATATCCTGAGATATCCTGAGGGTCCTGATCCTATCATGACATCAAGACCCTATTTATACACCTGCTATGCCCAGTTTTTTAAATTCATCTTCAGTCAGTATTTATATTAAACAGAATTGTACAGAAAAATGTGTACGTAACCCTAACAGAAACAAAGTGAATGACTTATCAGAACTGCCAACATTGACCAACAAGGCATCGCCAGCCCTACTCAACGCTCAGTTTCTGTGAACAATTCTTTTTTTAGACATACGACATTATTAGTGTAGATGCTACGCGCTTGTGTTGACGTGTAATCTCGGACTATAATTCATAGTTTACCGATTAGCAACAATCATTAATTAATATTAGGTAAGTACAGGGGACATACAGTTTTTTTGCATAAAGTCAAGTAGGTAAAAAACGATATAATCTTTTCGTTCGTTCGAATATATAATCTTTAGCTTGATGTAATATTTCGTTCTTCGGCGGGCTCCGTTCAACTTATTATGGTACAGTCAGCGTCATATAGTTCGTGACACCCAAAATAGTCAAAAATTTCGCAACACGTCATAAGTTTGTGTTGTCAACTTATTATTATTGGCCACTTAGGGTGTAAAGTAAAGTAAAATTTATTTCTCACCAATATAACAGATAAATATGTATAAAAACAAAAATCTGGAAAAACATAAATAAGCATTTTGGTGGGTTGATACCTGAACTAGGATAGGAAGATTCTTGTGTCTCAGGTTATCAACCCTCCACCACATAGTACAACGGTCTAATAAAATATAAGGAAAAAACACAGTGTCACGTGTCACGAACTATTTGACTCTGACTGTAGCTTAATAATACTCTTATTATGGTTAGTACAGTCATTGACCGACGGTATTATGGTATGTGCCAGTGATAATTAATCATCTTGTACACATAAAAATAGAGATAAGTTATCATAGAACACGCATTATGGCATCATGCCATAAGGGCTACCTTTTCTTTTTTTATTATTTTCTATTGACGTTCATAAGTGCCACTTGTGGTCTAAACTGAATAAATATTTTTGATTTTGATTTTGCCGCAAACCGTCAAAAAAATAACAGATTCAAAATTACTCGTAGGGCTAATTTTTCAATTGCTGGTGAAATTTTAACTGAAGAATGAGTTTGGCACATTGACAGTTTCAGTATGGGAAATAAGTATGTCTAAATGTCAATTTTATTCTTCAGTCAAAAGTTAGCCGACGCGCGACGATTGAAAAATCAGCCCTTTGACGCAAAAAATATTACAGACTGTCTAAAATCAGGTGGACTTTTAATTCTTTTTTTAATTAGCACTCTATGCCTGCCCTCTTCCAACTCAGACCAGAGGTGGAATTGTGTAAAGCAATCGTAATCATTTGACAGTTCATAACCTACGATTATTCTGTCAAATGCTTTGTTTAACTTACTTTATCGTTTATGTTATATGTATGTTTATGAACTGTCAAATGATTACTATTGCTTTACACAATTCCACCTCTCCACCTCTGAAACCAATACAATTGCCATTCTATGTGCTTACCTAAATATTATTACTTCCAGGTCTAGACAATGTTGCGTTTCAAACGAGATCTGGATGCGTCGTATCCCCACGTGTGGGACCGCTGGGAAGCCGACGGGAAGACCTGGATAATCCAAGACTTACCTCCCGAGGACGATGAGACCGCGCTCCAGATGATGGTGGAACATTGGCTTCCAGATGAACCTTTGAGCTCTAGTGCTGGTATGTTACTCCTCCTATGTTCTTCTGATTAATTTCGTTGCGGGTCCAATGACAGTTTAACTTTCCCCCGGGACAAACTTGACCTTCATTGGTTGGGTTTTTGTGGCGGTCAAGCTGTAGATCCTGGCTACACAGGAGTTGCAGTGGTGGGAACGAGAGGTGGGATAGTGCTGGTATGTTAAACAAGCTCTTTAAGCATTACATTGGCTAATACCACCGTCGGACATGGTTGGTCTCGCGGTCTTGGCTAATCCTGTCGGCCCCCCATTGAGGGTCTCAAAGTGGACTCCAAACTACACTTGTGTCCTTTGATCACCCATGGATAAAAGTCCATTTTGATCACCTAGATGATCTTATCAATGGGTGATCAAAGGACACCAAAGTGTCGCCTAGTGTCCATTTTGATCACCTGGGTGGTAAAATTCATGTGACCCCATTGAGGGGAAGGCGTAGTGGGTCCCGTGGGATCTGTAATAACGCCGCAAAACTACTACACCTTTACCCTGGCAGTCAAATTGTAACCTGGATACGGGAGTTGCAGTGGTAAGAACGAGAGCTGGGATATATTAGTTCTATTATGTAAAATTGAAGATGATTCTGAGAGAACAATCAAAAGCTGCCTAAATGACTCAATGTACCTCCAAGCGCTGACAAGTCGACATGCTTTACATATTCGACATGATTACTTCACCACATCCTTTGTTTTATAAAACAGGTGTATTCAAATTCGAATCGGTTCAAAAACTAATATTCCCATGTCTTCAGGCAAAGTCAATAGCATGCCTATGTTAACTAGGCCCTAATTATTTAAGTCAACAATTATCAAGGTTGCTTTCGAAATAAGTTTGTATAGATGAATGAATGAGGATTTGCCAGCTGTTTAACTAATATTTACTAATATTCTTTTAATATCCAGGCATACTCGACGATCCGGTTAGTTTAGAATGCTTCAAACACATGTGGAGAGAGTGTTTGTCCCAGCGCATGAGTCTTGGTTGCTATACAATCGTCGAAGGCCAAAAAACTCTAGTAGGAGCAAACGTGTGCATGGTAATGCAAAAGGAAGATAATGATAATATACAGGTGAGAAAGACACTATAATCCTTTGTATTACTAGAAAATACAGGATTTAAATTATGTACTTAATTGATATATGCCGTGTGGTGACGGCAGAGTAGAATACATTTGTCACCAACCCCTACTCTTCCCGCGGGTGTCGTAAGAGGCGACTTAGGGACTACACATCAAACAGAGAACGGGTAGCAGCGCTCTCTGACAAACATCAATCTTTTAAACTGCGATCTCCAACCCGCCTGCCAAGCGTGGGGATTATGGCAAAACCCTCCACTATAGTGGAGGAGGCTCATAGTCCAGTAGTGGACTGTAAAGGGCTGTTGATGATTGATGATGATTGACTTAATTGATTAATGAATCATGCATGCAAACACATTTCATTAACGCTGAACAAACTGGTTGGGGAAATCCTAATGTTCGCATATTGTTTGTCTCTTAAATGTGCGCAATTGATTTGGTGCATGAAATTGCTAAAATCTTTTTATAGTCGTGAAAGAAAAGTGGTTCACAATGTGTTAAAGTATTTGTCGAAGAGAAATACCAAGGGTTCGGACAATATTTTCATTGAATAATGTTTCCAATAAAGGTTGTCAAATTGACTGACATGTTTATCGTATAGTACAGTCCACTATGAAATTTAGCTGTGGTTTGTTTTAACTACATATTTTAAAGTTTTTTGTCACTTTCTAAGTGTTGAATTTTATGGAATTGGGAAAGAAGTACCGAGTTTGAAGCGTTCATGAGCAGACATTGCAGTTGAATATTCAAGTTCTGAAATTGATTATTGATGAATAATAAAATAAATCCTACTAGCTCGATTGATGATCATTTAATTTATTTAAACCAATACGTTTTCTATAATAATATGTTTTCGTTAATTTATGAAAATATTAAATTAGCCCGTAATCCTGAATCCTGATACATAAAGTTAGCCTATTAATTTGACACAGGTACGACTGTACTCAGTGTTGCACTATCAAATGCAATTGTTGCTCCTCTATGCCAGGGTTTTTATGTTCCTGGTCAGGCTATAAATATCGTAAGAGACGACTAAGGGACAACTGCGAACATCGGGCCTCCCCAACCCGTCTGGCCAGTGCAGCGTTGGGAGTATAGACCAAATCCTCTATTTGTCTGATGAATTAGAAGACCATTGTCCTGCAGTGGAGACTAAACGACCTGATAATGTAATAATTTACGAATTTTTAACCCACAGTTAGAAGAAAAGAGTGCTCTGAACGTTTACGGCGTACTTTTACATTTAGAATCAATGGCTGACCAGTATGAGCACCTCGGAACGCAGAAAATACTAGATGCGTTTGGTCTGGTCGTACATAGGGACTACCGAGGTTGCCGGCTTGGAGGCAGAATTTTAGCTGCTAGGTAAGTACTTAAGTATCAGTTTTAAGGTTCACATTTCCTTGCATTGAGTACGTCAGTCATGACGTTTTTATACGCTTGATTAAGCGACAGCGCACATTGAGCGACAAAACGCGGCGACAGACGCGGCCACAAAACGCATGCGCGTGTAACGAGCGTTTTGTGGCCGCGTGTCGCCCAATGAGTGCTGTCGCTAAAAGTGCATGTCAGTCCGACCGTCAGTCCGTCTTCGCCTAAAACCTAGTCGTTAAATTCTGACAAAGCTTGTAAAATACATCATCATACTTACAAAGAGTTAAAATACCTTGTTTGATCCGAAATGGGACATATAGGGCTACCACTATCGAATTGTAAAAAAGAGACCACCAAATATTCATAGGGAATATTTGGTGGTCATTTGGTTTCGGTGGCGTATTTGAGCACCAGAAGCATACCTACATTACCTACCCGTCTTTTTATACTACTTTATACAATCGTTTCATATCTATTTCAGGGAGCCTCTAAGCAAGTCTATAGGTGTGAAAGGAACAGTATCAATGTTCACTGGGCCGGCCTCACAGAAGCTAGCAAAGAACTGTGGCTTCACAACAATCTCCAAAGCAACGTGGTCGGAACTAGCCGACGTTGGTCTTGACTTCCCGAGAGAGGACAAAGTGGTTAAATACATGATCAAGAAGTTTAAATGAAAATATTTTAGCAACCAAGTATCAAGTACGAACGAGCATTTATTCATATGAAACCACCGAAACCATATTCCCTAAGGATGGTTTTAGTGTCACGCGGACCGTCCGGTGCGGACCCGCTCCGCACAACCAATCTGTATGAACTTCTAGGGAGCGTTTTAGAGTAATGCGGTCCGGAGGAACCGCTCCGCTCCCTAGCAGTTCATACAGATCGGCTGTGCGGAGCGATCCGCACTGACAGTCCGCGTGACACTAAAACCAGCTTAATATTCCACTTATGACACTGTAAAATAAAACAATGACATTCAATTTGATATTTTTTTTGTCTTCGGCACTTTTGCGATTTTGGTTAAAGTACCTAATAATGTGCTCACAGTTTATATAGATCGTTTCATCTACGAAGACGCGTCCCACCATTCTTCCACTAATGTCTGCGTGTTATCGGTACACGCTAAATTATCCATGAGTGCACACGCACACTACAATAATGCCGCTCGGATTGGTCGGATCAAACTCCCCGCACCCCGCGCTTCCCTCGACCAAAAATTGGTGGGGCGCGTCTTCGTGGATGAAACGATCTATAGCTACCGAGGCATACTTAAATTTCTATGCCAAAGGTAATATTATAAGTCAGAAATGTAAACCATTTAAAAATAAAATATTTATTAAGTCTTGTATTTTTAACAATTAATAATATACACAATCAGTTAAACGTAGTTACAGTCAAACAACAATAGACTTTTTGCCTGTACAGTAAAGATCAGGGTTCTCTTAAAATAGGCGTTCTTATAGATCTTACTGCAAGAAAACTTAAACATTAAAAAGGGCAACAACTATATGAATTAAGCATAATCAATAAGGATATTCAGACTTCAAATATATCGTAATTTTGAATGTGTTAAAATGTACAGTCGCAAGCGCATCAACGTACCGCAAAATTGGAAACTACGTCAATTGACTTTGATATTTACGAGCAAAACATAAAGTACAAAATACTTTTGGTATAATATTTCATATTGAGGAATAGTTTTCTGTACAATAAAAAAATCTTTAAATATTTGTCCATTATTTTAAGTAAAATTATAAAATTAGACAACTGTACTTTTTCATTCAAAATAATGATATAAATTGATTGTCAAATACAGGCCCAATTAAAGTTAAAAGTACCGTACAAATTAAAATGGTCTCTTAAAAGTTCTATAATCAAAAGTGGAAACGAAACGTTTTAAACTGGATTCAAAGTAAGTGTCCTGATTATTGTCCTTATTGTCATTCGTTGAATTAAAATCTATTTTCAAGTGTGTACAAATCAATACTTCTGGCCTTAATATTTTGATTGCTTAAAGTTTTAAACTGACAGCAGAATATTCTTTCCAGTACCCAAAATAAATACCACACTAGATCGCAAATGGTCAACCAAAGTTTTGCGGTCCGCGGATTTTTATGAAGTTAATGACCGAATACCAATTCTTGTGTGTTTCATCCAACTTTTACATGTAAAGTTTTATCACTTGAACTAACCAAATAAATAAAGTGATAAACCATGAGAAAAATTTTAAAATCAACCTTATTTTTGCACGATACGGTCCATATTTTATCCGTAGTCTACATTACTGTAAAATCAAATGTTACAGAAATTGTTACCTTAAAACATCGTCACAAGTTCTACTTTGGCCTGAAGTCGGGTAAGCAGTGTTCGACGGGGTTCGGTGGGTGTTCGTCGGTGAGATACGAGCTTAGTAGTACGGGTGCACATACTGGTATCCTACGGGACACCAACCACGCGGCGTCCCGGTCTGAGAGTGGGTACCTTTTGATGTCGGCAAAGCATACGGTGATGTCTTCGTTGTTGTATGGCGGCCTGGAAAAAATAGGTTAATGAATAGTTTGCACATTGGTTAGAGGTAATTGCAACGCTTGCTGAATTTCTATGCAACAAATCACATCAAGCGATGTATTACCTCAAAAAAATTTATAGAGCACCCAAAACTCAGCGTTGTGAGCGCGCAGAAAATTGCGGAATAAAGGCGTACCAAGGAAAAAGTGTCAAAGAGCGGCGGACGGCTTTAAAATATGATTTGCTTATCTCTCAAAGGTTCAGAATGCCCTCCTGGGCCAGAATATAAACCCATGCCATCTTAGATGGTACGAAGTTTGGGAGGGCAGTTAGTCACTGAATACGTGTAGCTGAGCAACGCCACGACGCGACGCCGCGACGCCAGCATAAGCCACGGCAGCCGCCGCTCGTGCCCGAACGCCTTTGAACCTTAATTCCTGTTCACATTGCTCTCATATTACTTGTTACACTCACTCGTCTTCCGGCGTTATTCCATCTCCAGCGCTGACCAGTCTAGCCAGCAGTCTTCTCCTAACCGCTGGTACGTGTAGCAAGGCCACGACGCCCGCAAAAGGCCCCGGTAATCGTCGCTCATACCCCGAGCGCTAGTGAACCGTAACTCCTATACGATATTAAGGTACACATTGCTCTTTTATTATTAGTACTCACTCGTCTTCCGGCGCTATTCCATCCCCAGCGCTGACGAGTCTAGCCAGCAGTCTTCTCCTAGCCGCTGGTACATGTAGCTAGACCACAACGCCTGATCGCACCCGTAACGCCAGTGAACCTTAACTCATGTACGATAAGGTTCACATTGCTTGTAACGTTGCAATTTTTGCTGTTTTTTCACAAATTAATATTTCTTCTCAATATTCTGATTTTGGATACCACTAGCGACATCTATTGGCGTGATTTAGAATTAATTTGCAATAGATGGCGCTTTTTGCTCAGTCAATTCAAATATATTTTATTGAAACATTTCCTAATGTTTTTATTGTGATTATTCTATTTTTTAATAGAATATTTTCAGTGTTCAAGAGATTGTTTTCATCATGGTTTTTANCAGCAAAACTGCAACGCTACAGTACTGCCTACCTCGAAATTAGTAGTGCTAATGCTCGCCACTGTCTAAGGAGTATATTTATCAGCGCTCTACCCAGCATCTGTTTCCATGCCAAACAAACAACCACGTAAACACACAGATTAGGCAACAACGTCACAGTGAGAGTTAATTATAGTGCAAGTGACAATAATGAGATAACACCGCCTGTCCTTTGCCAAAACTTCCGAACTGCGACTGCAATGCAGGTAGAATTTTTATCAGCAATATTTGATGATATGATACAAAGAAGGGAATTCCGGAAAAATACGATGGTGCTTTCGTCAGCAAAGTTATAAATATTGTTTAACTTATTGACGTAGATGATCGTAACATAAAGAAGAGTTTTGCTGATCTAACTAAATATTACAACTTTACAGAGGTTTGTTGTTGTTGTGTGTAGATGCACCTTCAAATACGAAATTTCGATTGTTATTATAAATAGATCGTTTGAATGACTACGACTACTGATACTGAACTTCACCGTCGCTTCATTGACCGACCCTAAATATAAGCACGTGTAGACAGACAGTCTGCGCACACGCTGTTTGAAACCGATTCAACTTTCTATTGCCAACCGATATTTAGACGGCTGACGTGTTTATCGCTTACAACACCAAACATCACATAATTTAGCGTCAACACAATACGGTACTAATGTTTGTGGAACTATCATCACTATTCATACATTATTATTGTACTAAAGGAGCATAACTGTTAGTTATTGACGTAGCTTCTTGTTGTGGCTGGATTACTTGGTTTAATCAAACAAGTGATTGGTTCATCAGATCAACAGGTTTCGAAGTTCCAATATGTTTTTTAATACATCTAAATCCCAACATCTAACAACAACAAATTTTCTGGATCTTCAACTATTACCGCAACTATGTTAATCTGTTTTAATTACATATATTTCAAGATTTATATTTTTTGTTTGTGTATGAAACAGCAGCGATACATAAGACGGAAAGCAATAAATCATTTCAGCACTTATCAGTTCATTTTAACTTAACAGGTAAGTAATTAAGGATTTCAACAGACTAAGAATTAATAACGTGTCCGAAGTAATTTTTAGTAATTAAAGGGCTTGGTTTAGATTCCAGTCTTATCCAGGAGGTGTGAACGTGATTTATGGTGAACGAAATTAATGTGCTAAAATGAAAAAGGACAAATTGTTCTTATTGTTGTAATCTATACTATAACTACTTATAATAAATCTGTAGAGTGGTCAATTCTGTACATGAAATATATTTTCAAAATAACTATCAGGGGGTGATTAGTGATCGATACTGATGCCAAAAATGCAATCAGTAAAATTTTTGTCTGTCTGTCTGTCTGTATGTTCCTTATAGAAACAAAAACTACTCGACGGATTTTAACGAAACTTGGTACAATTATTCTTCATACTCCTGGGCAGGTTATAGTTTACTTAGGAATTCCCACGGAAACGGGAATTAGCGGGAAAATCCTTTTGTATGAAAAATCTAAACCGCTTAAGTTAGACGCTTGAAATTTGGCATGCAGTTACCTTAGTAAACTTAAAGCTTAGTTACAACAGGATATTGCAACATTCCCTCGGGAACGGGAGTTAGCGGAAAAAAACATTTGTATGAAAAAATCTAAACCGCGTAAGATGAAAGGGGTAAAACGGGATCGACGCGTACGAAGTCGCAGGCGGCCGCTAGTACTACAATAAAGTAGTATATTTTTTATGTATATTCTTTGGTCGGACATGATTAGTTCTCTAATTATAATTTCGACGTCGCAATTGCCTTGAACTTGCCTTTGGGAAATGTCACGCCCACATACGCAACACCCCACTGGGGACTGCCAAATACTTGCGGGTACACACACTGTCTTGGAGTTTAATAGATACGGCGCCTGTTACATTGTTTGTCCAATCAGTGACCAATGATGACTTAGATTAGATTGTGATATGGGTACTTCATTTGGTTCGATCAAATCCATTAACGTTTGGGTTTGGCGTTAGTAGATGTGGTGTTTACAAACATCACATCAACACCAGCGCTCACTATTCTGTTCTACTAATCGCAATTTGGATTTGATGGATTATCAAAAGTAAAATTTGACTTTCAGAAACTATTGTGCAGTTTCTGAAAATCCCAAATTGTACAATTCTCTCATGATCTACTGGAAATAAGACTTTAATTGTTTATTCTATAGGCTTGCTTTTTCACAAAAATAGTAGATAATTAATAGTCAAGAAATGAAGATGCATCTGTAGGTACTAGCTCAAAACTCAAGCTCGTCGACGTAAATGCATGTCACTAACGACGCCACGCTAATGTTCCAGCAATTTGTTTTGATTAGTGCCGTGTCTTTAGCTAATTATCGAGGTGACTGAGTCATGGAGGAAATAATCGCTTGCTGGAAGCCACATGAACTTCGACGAGTAATTTGTCATTCATGGTTTTTGTATTCTGGTTTTGTTAGGATTTATTTTTAGAGTTTTCCTTAGAAAATAGTAAGAAACTAAATGCTTATTTGAATTTTCCTCCGTTGTATTTGTGTGATCAGGTAGCAGTACACTGGGATCTCTACTACACTAACTTACACTACCTTGGAAATGGAGTACCACCTAGTAATGGAGACAGAATGTGAGATTTACGAAGGACTTTCATCCAAGACACGATGCTCAGCAATGAGGAATATGATTACTATTGGAAGTTATCCTTTCATTCGGACCGGTGGACATTAATTCTTAAAATTAGCTCAATTGCTTTTGAATCTTGCATCTCCCTATAGGAGATCTGCACTCGCTCCAATTTGAATCAATGCAGACGAGTGCAAATCATCTAAGATTGTTATGCCCTGTGCCTATTGTCCGGCCCCTTGTTTTCCATACAGCACTTGATGAATTGCAACTGACCTCTATTCCATTTGACCTGTTTTAACACGTCTTCGATTTCGCCTCAATTGACTCTTCAATTTGGGGTCAATTTATACAAGACAGATTTGTTGGGAGGGTTTACAATGTGGGGAGGTCAATTCGTATTGTTCGAGACGTTTCCGTTGTTTCTAGCTGGTTTATTTTGGGTTTTCAGTGGGATATCTCAGCAAAATTTCTGTACGAAACCTATAGGTAATGCGTTTTCATTATTGATTCTTCATAGTTTTCATGTTAAACTTGTTCTTCTTCTTATCGTGTCGACAACAAACCTACACACTTTCAGCCCAAAACTCCGCTTATACTTATACTTGTTTAATTTTAGTCTTATTTAAGTAAAAGGTTTTTTTAGATTTGGATATTTTATGGAAATATTCAATAGTAGATTCCATAAACACATTCAATTCAATACATCGGCTAGATACTAGCACACCTCAGCAAAAAGCTTCCTAGGTGTTACCTTCAACTGGGTATGTGGGACGCAATGTTCCCATGCGTCAGTTCTCAATGCTCGGGACAGTTAGCTGGGACTGGGACAACCGTTGGATGTTCCACTTGGCTGACGCGGATGTTGAGAACTAGGGGTTTTGGGTTACCGTGGCAGAGATTGTTCAGGGATACGCGGCTTGGGTCAACTAACATTCTTGAAGATTAGGTTTCTTATTAGATAACTTTTTTTTTTAATTACAGACCATTAATTTGTTTTGACAGCATTCGGGAAACCACTAAGGTTTGTGTTGATGCTTTTGCAGTTCTACATCGATATTCGATACTTTACAAAGAAGAACGGTCATCTGTGACCCAGGCCCGACAGAAACGAGACATACCTCAGTTTTTTTGTCATGTCTTAATTAGTTAAATCCCAACTAATATTATAAATGCGAAAGTAACTCTGTCTGTCTGTCTGTCTGTCTGTCTGTTACGCTTTCCCGCTTAAACCTCGCAACCGATTTTGATGAAATTTGGCATAGAGATAGTTTGAGTCCCGGGAAAGAACATAGGATAGTTTTTATCCCGATTTTGAAACAGGGACGCGCGCGATAAAGTTTTTCTGTGACAGACAAAATTCCACGCGGGCGAAGCCGCGGGCGGAAAGCTAGTTATATATATATATATATATATTTTTTTTATTCGAAATCTATGTAGTGTAACACCAAAATATTACCCTTTGTTTTTGTTCAGGCGTTATACAAAAACTAATTCAAAATGCCTATTTATCACCAAAATTGGCAAATGTATGTACCTAAATGTCTATTACAGCTGCTATGGAATGTATCTAGGTGACCTGGAGATACAGCCGGATTATACAGGGTGGAAACGATGTGATCTCAGCAAAACTAGTTACTGATTCTGAAAGTGCTTCACGAGCTCTTTCAAATGGTACCAATAATAGGTTACAGATTATGGAAGCATTGAATTTTTGGATTTAGTTCGACGAACGAGAAGTTCTCGTTTCCACCCTGTATAATCCGGCTGTATCTCCAGGTTACCTAGATACATTCCATAGCAGCTGTAATAGACATTTAGGTCCATACATTTACCAATTTTGGTGATAAATAGGCATTTTGAATTAGTTTTTGTATAACGCCTGAACAAAAACAAAGGGTAATATTTTGGTGTTATACATAGATTTCGAATATAAAAAATATTATATAATTTCACTAATTAAGACATGACAAAAATATTGAGGTATGTCTCGTTTCTGTCGGGTCTGGGTTTTTTTTGTATGGGGCGTGACCGTTCTTC